TGTTAGACCGGCTGTCAAATACCAGACAATAGGGAGCTTGAGAAACCACGACGGTGACGCCAAGGACAACGTTGATTAAAAAGTAATTTTATACTTTATCTACGAATTTTGCGATACCCTGAAGTTATTTACTTCATTATTTTATCACTGTCAGAGCTTTCACAAAACTGAATCTAGGACACATCAATAAATGCGAAATACATGTAAAAATTGAAAACGATAGCTGTTGTGGTTCATGTTCTCCAGACTATGCAGAATTTAGTCATTTTATGTTGTTGTCTTGCAGACGATGGTAAAGAAATGTACCAAGACTTATAACGTACGTTCACAGCCATAATGTTCTCCTCATTAAAACTTTTTGTTTGATGACGTTGCCGTTGCCGTCTTGGTTTTCTTAAGCACCCTAACAAAAATAATGTTACATAGTTCTCATGAGACATTTACTAAAACGTCTTTAAAAATTAGTGGTTAACTGGCACTAACTTGGTCCAACTGTACCTGGAGGTTATCACCCTTAAGTTTCTTGAGCTTTTTCTTGTACAGTAATGTCCAAAGATCGATTTAAGTGACTCTTTGTGATAAATAATTATGCTCATTATTCAGGAATGCAACATGATGTTATACTTGCTACTCAGCCATATGGACTTGGTTTAAATGAGACCCTTATGCCGCAGTATCTCAAACAACTGGGCTATGCCACACATGCCGTTGGAAAGGTGTGAATGTATTTTGAAAATTTATAATTTGTTAGGTCATATCACATGTAGCATGCAAAATGCTGATAAAATAGTTGTTAGCAAGTGAAAAAGGTACATTTGAAGGACATTGCAGTAAAAATTTAATTTAACAATTTATTGTTGATAAATACTGCATCATTTTGTTATCTTTAGGCAGTCATTTTCAATTTTGAATTTACAGTCAGTTGGGAAAGGTTTGGAACTGAGAGTCTGTGGGGTCATGGGACAGGTGTAAAAATTCAGACATTTTCAAAAGATCTGATCAAAGTTAAAGTTTCCAAAGATTTTATGGTTTCAGACCTCAACCAGCTGTCTTTAAATTTAATTGTAAATGGCTACCAAAACTGGCAAGTACATTTTGGTAATAAAGGTACTGTAAGTTTATTTTGTTATGTTTTATTCTGATCTGAGGGTTCACTGTGATTTGCAAGTTATTTAAGTGGCTCCATGAATA